TAAACTTTCCTCACTACTAAAAAGCTCTCCAGTTTTTTTGTTTTTTTTTGGCTGAGGTTTTGATTACCTGTATAAATTCTTTTTAAAAAACTTTTTTCCAAATAAGACAGTTTTCATCCCTTCAGAGCACTCTTCAACAAAGATCAGACTGAGAGCTTTAATGATGCGTTCACTGGTCCACGTAAAACAGACGGAGCTGACGCACAAGGTGTGTAGAAATAAGATTACATATTCAGTTTAGGATATACTTATAGTACCATTTAAATTACAAAAGTGTTAAAACAGTCACAGCATGTTTATTTGTGGAGGGATCTCAAAAGCTCAAACAAACGGAGCGTCTCCTTCAGGTTAAAGCTTTGCAGCTCCGCTCATTCTGATCATGTCAAAGCAAAACATCTGCAACCAACAGGAAAAATGTTCAAGAGTAGTTTTATTGATTTTACTTTTAGGACAATGACGGTATAACAATTCAAATTTTGTAGACCTATACTTTTACAAACATTTATCTTTTTTTTAGGGCCAAAGGTGACTTAATCAACTCAAAGTTTCTGTTTTTCACCTGCTGATGAAGTCTAATTCTGTAAGGATGTATTAAACACATATGGGCTACTGCACTGAGATAAAATAAGAAAATTTAATTAAAAAAAACTAGGTACCACTTTACAATAAGGCTCCCCTGGTTAATAGTTTATAGATATGTTATTAATTCCTCTATAAACGCTTTATAAATCATTAATAACTGCTTATTATGCATTCATTAAGACTAAATTATTAGAGACTAAACTGATCAGTTTCTTGCCAAATAGTGAGCAGTGTTGCCAGATTGGGAACTGGAAAGATTTTTGTTGGATTGTTGTGTTTTTGCCACATATTGTTAAATTATCTTGGCTTGTACTGATGTGCATTCATGTTCAAACAGTAAATATACTGTAACTATATATTGACTGAGCGGGTTTTTGTGTGATGTGGTGGTTTTTAACACATTTTTAGGCTGGAAAATCTCGACTATCTGGCAACACTGAAAGTAAGCCAAATCTGTTCACCTATACATTTCATCTAGAGTTAATATTAAACATTTCAGACTAAGTTACTACCTTGTAAGCACAATAAGCGTTTGTAAACCTGCGTTTTTTTTAGCATATACTTTATCACTGTATTATATCTACAACTAATATCATATCCTAAAAAAATTAGGTTTGCAGATGCTTATTGTGCTTACAAGATGAAATATAGATATATGAAATGTACAGGTGGCAGATTTAACGCACTATTTGGCAAGAATTTGGTCAGTTTTGTCTCTCTGTCACCCTTAATTAATGCATAGTAAGCAGTTATTATTTATATAGAGGAATTAATAACGTATCTATAAACTATTTATTAGATTAACCCTTTAGCCAATAAGGGGAGCCTTATTGTAAAGTGGTACCAAAAACTGCTTTAAGAAATGATAAAAACATGAAGATGCTGTTGCCTTAGAGACTTTTAACAACTCAGATTAGGTTTGGATTATAAAACCTTCTTACTTCTTATAAATTGTATTTGCCTAATTGGTGCGACATTTCACGGTATCTAAAAATGCATTTCCCGTCAAAATATGATGTAGAAAATTAGGAACTGCACAGATGTCAAAGAAAGATTCATAATAATTTGAGACCACAGCTGAAGGATAAATGATCTAATCTTTTAATTATTTTTTCTTTCTTTCCATATTTAAAAGCCAAACAGTTTGCTGTTTTGGACTGTTTGGGTTCTGTGATGAGCAGCACCCCGAGGACCTCAGAAGGGAAATGGTGGGTCTCCCATCAAGACCAGAGATGGGACTTTGGGTCAGGCTTGGCTGGCTAAAATGATAAAACTGACTTCAGACCAGTTTAGAGGTGCAACACTAAAACACACCATCTAATTTAATCTTAATCTTTAAATCTAATTCCCACTTGGGTCGTTCTGATGGTTTAATGACTCAAATGTGGGTTCAGGTTGGTGAAAACTGAACATCTGCGCACCCTCGCCCCTCACCATGGAAATAAACATTTTAAAGACTATTCAACGAAACTGCTCAGGGGGCCACAGTTATTAAAGCCAAGAGCTCAGGGGCCGTACATCCAGCAGTTATTGTCATTAAGTAAATTTGTCTATTGGTTAAAAATCAAGTTTTATTTAAAAATGAACGCATTGGTGGGCCGAGCTGAGCTCACCTATAGACCTAATTTGGCCCCCGGGCCACCAGTTGAATAGCACCGTTTTAGAGTATCCACTCTAACCAGGAGCAAACAGACCATCAAAACCAGTTTCTTCCCATCAGGAATTGGACTTAGCTGTGGTGGTCATCATCTTCAAATGTTAATGAGTTTTAGATGATTACTTTTATAATTTCACTGAAACAAGGTTTACAATAAATTTTGCTAACAAAGTGTTATAATGCAGACATTTTAAACAAAAATATTACTCACTGAGTAGCAACTACATGCGACGGGAATGACTCTCAGCTACTACCACACCAGATTTGAGCACAATATCAGTAACAAAAAAGGTTGAATCATGTCATCTGGACTTCGTTTTTTTGTTAAAAAGAAACGTTTCGCCCCTCGTCCAAGAGGCTTCGTCAGTCTGAGGCCTAGCCATCTGGTATTACCCACAATATCAGTAGATTGTTGTATAGCCCAGTTTGTGTTATCTAGGATTATTTAAACTTGCAAGTTATTTTAAATCCTAAAAGTTAACCAGTTGCAGAAGTACATCCAAGAGTTTTATTAAAAGCTGTGATTTATGAGCTATTCTGCAAACAGACTAAGTTGAATTCTAATATTGCATTTAAAAAAATAAATATCTTAAACAAACTGTTAGTGGTATGTGTGTTAGGAATCAATATCAGCTACTACCACATAGTTTAGCTCCATATCTGTAAAGCTGACAAAGTTATAACTATTTTTGTTGTTTTTAAATTCATTTGCTCGTGGTGGCCTTCTTAAACCGGGTTAACTCCAGGAGTTAATCAGTTACAGATGTGCATCTAGTGATTCATTTCTGAAAGTTTGATTCAAATCAGGCGAGTGGTTCATTAGATATTTTGCTAACAGACACAGAAGGGGGGAAAAAACAAGGTTTGGTCAAAAGGCAGTGAAGCCACAAGCTGAAGCAGCTGCAGGTTTGTAATTAAAATAATAAAGAGGAACCTGTTAAACAAGTTCGAACACAAAGTGAAACAATCACATCATTAACTCTACGAAGCATCAACGCAGACCGGTTCGGTTCGGTCACACAAAGGCACCATCGGAACCACGAGCTGGACTTTAATAAACTACAAAAACCACAATGAGCCCGTGCACGGCGGCCATGCAGCGCGCGCGCGGCCTGAGAAAACAAAAGGCGTGTTTGGTTCAGTAAAATAAATCTTCACCTCCCTCCTTCATGCATTCATTTGAATCTATGCAGCTCCATTTCCCTCACCCCTTCATCCACATTTCACCCCCCCTCCCCCGCTTCCCTTTCTTTCTCTCTCTCTCTCTCACTCACTCATCCTCACTCACCCCTCCCTCTCACATAAAAACACTCACCCATTCATTCACCGCATCCCCTCTTCCTCCTCCTCCTCCTCCTCACTCTATTCACCCATTCACTCCCCCTGCGCCCACCTTCATGTAAACAAACCAGCCCGTGCACATTTCACTACAATGGGACTCGTTTTTATGACGTCATTAACCATAACACACAAAAACGGGTGGATAATAAAACTGACGAGTTAAATTATGTCTAATTGCAAATCGTTTCCTTTAAAGTGAAATAGTCCGAGTCTTAAAAAGTCACATGATTTCCTCAAAGTGCCGTCCATCACTCAGATTATAGGAGAGGCGGAATAATTTGTGATAATCCCTCAAAATAGTGTGAAACAAGTGGAAAAGTCGGAGGGAAACGCACTAATTCAGTTTAATCAAAATGGCGTTACAGGGAGAAACAGCACGCAGCGCCTTTATTTAAGAAGGAAACCAAAGACAAAGTTTATTGTCTGATGGATGTATTTGTTGCTGTCCTGCTGATTTGGGGTGATGAGGAGGAACCCGCGCGCACGCATGGTGCTCGGACGCGCCAGTGCCCGAACAAAAGACAGCCATCACTGCGCCCTGAAGGACTCTGGTTTCGGACGCAGTGTCTCCCTCGCCCCCTCCCGCCATCCACACCCCCCACCCCTCAACCCCATCTGCATCTGGACCCACACCTGGTCACAGCCTGGGCATTTGGACCGAGTCAAAAATATGTGATCAGCTCAATAAGCGATCAATTGGGTCTGTGATCTTTGGAGGCGCTGGCAACTTTCCTGACAATGGAGCTCTAGAGGCGAGCGCTATGCTCGTAGTTATAAGCAATTCTGCTTGAAAACCGTCAAATAAAGCCACCCCACCTGGAGAACCACAACCCGAATAAAGCCCCACTAAAGCCCCTTCTGTCACCTGCAGCTTGGCCGGTGTGACATTTAATTTATAGTCGGTTTAACAGTAAATAATCTCGAACACGTCATTCAAAGTCAATGGCCGGACTGTGTTAGTTGGGAAAATGTATGGGGGTATTAAAAGGATAAACGAAACCCTGCGCCGTCCGAACCACGCGCATCACCTCGAGCGAAGATTCAATTTTCATACGCTGTGCGTGTTTCGGGTCCAGGTTCCGTCTGTTCGGGTCAATTTAACGCGAATTGGGCAAAATTGTTGGCGGCGCGCACTACTTCCAGCCGGTTTTCCCGGAATAAAAGTTGCTCGCCGGCGCGGGCGGACGGATCCGAGCGTGTGGGTGTGAAGCCGAATGTCCCCGCCACCGGCCCGTGAGGTTCGGCGGGTCGGAACTGCTCCGTGGGGTTTGTATTTGACGGGAGTTGGAGGATGAAGAAACACAAACAGGACGGCGCCAGTTCCATGGAGTCCGCTAGATCAGCTGCTGGCAGTTGCTGTTCTCAATCACGTCCGCAGAGAGGCTTCATAAGCTCACCGGAGCGGCGGCGGAGTAAAGACGCTTCGCCGCACGCGCTGCTGCTCGTTTTGTTTTGGAAACTGGGAATATTCATATTTTTATCCTCTCAGAGGCGAAAAACAAACATTATCAGACATTTTTGGACTTTTGAGAGTATTTTTCGACAACGCATCTTTGACTCTTCCTGACACATCACCTTTTTGTCAACTTTTTCAGACAAAAAAAAAAAAAAAAAGAAGAAGTCACCATGGCAGAGACGTCCGCTCCAGCCAAAGCCAAAAGGGCGTCAAAACCCAAAAAGCCCACTTCTCATCCCAAGTACTCGGACATGATTAAAGCGGCCATTGTTCACGACGCGAGCCGGAGCGGAGCGTCCCGTCAGTCCATCCAGAAGTACGTGAGGAAGAACTACAAAGTGGGCGACAACGCCGACGTGCAGATTAAAATGGCCCTGAAGAGGCTGGTGGCGTCCGGGATGCTGCGCCACACCAAAGGCATCGGCGCGTCCGGCTCCTTCAGGCTCACCAAGCCGGAGGACTCCTCCAAGAAGCCGGCCAAGGCGGCGGCGGCGACCGCCAAGCCCAAGAAAGTGGCCAAACCCAAGCCCAAGAAGGCGGCCAAGCCCAAAAAGGTCACCAAGACGCCGGAGAAGCCCAAGAAGGCGGCGGCGAAGAAGGTGAAGAAGGTCGCGAAGAAGGCGACCCCGGCCAAGACCAAGAAGACTCCGGCCAAGAAGCCCAAGGCGGCCAAGCCCAAAGCGAAGCCCGTGAAGAAAGCAGCCAAACCCAAGGCCAAGACTCCCAAGAAGGCGGCCAAGTCCTCCAAGAAGAAGTGAATGGACACAGAAAGAGAACTGTAAATACTTGAGGAAAATGTTTTCGTATATGTATTATTTTTGTAAGGTCTCATTAAAATGTTTGTAGGGTTCTCTCCATTGAAGCATTAATAAGCTGTACACATATTTGTGAACTTTTTTTATTTTTTTAATTCCTTTATAATATTACCTGTCTGAGGTTTGAACACTTAACAGGAGGCGTGTATATACAGCTTAATAATTATTGTTTGTGCACCTGTTCATATTAAAAACACAACATTTTGTATGGTGAGCATTGTGGAGCCTGTACCGTGTACAGACCATCTACATTTAATTCTCTACAGGCTCCAAAGTCCTCATTTAACTTGTCTATATATACTTTTTATTTTCATACAACTCATCCTGATGTGTTCAGACGCTTTATTGTTATTCAGTAAAACTTTTTATCATCTAAAAAGGTGTTTATTGTGTTGGTATAACATGTTTAAATCAAGACTTAACCCATAATAATGTCATTCATTTGGACACTTTAATATGGTTCAAAATATTTTAAATAATGGGAGATCCTTCAGTGATAATAAATTAGATGGTGGCATAACATTTCAATGGATCAAAAACTAAGACTTGGGGAACAACTTCTATGAGCCTTTAAAGCTGCACAGAGTCCAGTACTTTGCAGATCATCGAGGAGGGGGTGTGTTGTGGACACACCCATGCTCCCCCCCCCTGAAACACTGCGATCTCGTGGCCATTTGCAGGAACAGAACTCATTTCTAACAGCAGCAAAACACCTTTATGATGATTTGAAGTCAAATGGCACCAGTCCGTCGTATTCCCATCAAAACTTTTCTGCATTTGCAGTAAAAGAATTAGTAAATGTCAGGCATGTTTAAATCTGAGGGATACTTTTTTATGACCTGAAATCCAAATAAAACATAGGCACAGATGTTGAAAAAGTACAAAATGCATAAACGCATAATTCACAGCACTTATTGTCTTGTCATCAACACATACAGCGTCTTTTAGTCGGAGGTCTTCACCCAGTCCGGTCTGCTCTTTATTAAGCATCTAATCAGTTCTTGTTCAAGTTTTAAGGACAACAGGTTCTCCAACTAAGCAACGAACCTCACTCCTGCTGGTTAACAGTAATAACACAATAGTAGACACAAGGTCAGTCAGGTGCTTGAGAACAAACAAGTATAAATTATCAAATCGGCTTGAACGTGAACAGAATGGGATCAACCAAAGGCGATGTACACCGCGTTCCAAATTATTATGCAAATTCTATTTAATTGTCATAAAGACAATTTTTTTTCTATTCAAATCCTGGATGGGATTGTGTTTCAGGGCTTTTAGGATCACTGAAATCAGTCAGACACGTGTGATGATTAATTTGTCTGGTGAGCCCAATTATAGAAAAACTACTGAAGAAGGACGTTCCACATTATTAAGCTTACAGTGGTGCTTGAAAAGTTTGTAAACTCTTTAGAGTTTTCTATATTTCTGCATAAATATGACCTAAAACATCAGATTTTCATAGGTCATTTACTTATTGAGGAAAATGATCCAGTATTACATATTTGTGAGTGGTAAAAGTATGTGAACCTCTAATATTATCAGTTAATTTGAAGGTGAAATTAGAATCAGGTGTTTTCAATTAATGGGATCACGATCAGGTGTGAGTGGACACACTTTGATTTAAAGAACAGGATCCATCAATGTCTGCTCTTCACAACATGTTTGTGGAAGTGGATCATGGCAGGAACAAGATTTCTGAGGAGCTCTGAAAGAGTTGTTGATGCTCATCAGGCTGGAAAAGGTTACAAAACATCTGTAAAGAGTTTGGACTCCACCGATCCACAGTCAGACAGGTTGTGTAGAAATGGAGGAAATTCAAGACCATTGTTACCCTCCCCAGGAGTGGTGGACCAACAAAGATCACTCCAAGAAAAAGGTGTGGAATAGTCGGCGAGGTCACAAAGAACCCCAGGTTAACTTCTCAGCAACTGAAGGTCTCTCTCACATTAATGTTCATGAGTCCACCATCAGGAGAACTTTGAACAACAATGGTGTCATGGCAGGGTTGAAGGGAAAAGTCACGTCTCTCCAAAAAGATCATTGCTGCTCGTCTGCAGTTTGATAAAGATCACGTGGACAAGTCAGAAGACTGTTGGAAGAATGTTTTGTGGACGGACGAGACAAAAATAAAACTTTTTGGTTTAACTGAAAAGTTTATGTTTGGAGAAAGAAAAACACCACATGAAAACTGTATCCCATCTGTGAAACATGGTGGTGGTAGTATCATGGTTCCGGCTTGTTCTGCTGCATCTGGGCCAGGACGGCTTGCCATCATTGATGGAACAATGAACTCTGAATTATATCAGAGAATTCTAAAGGAAAATGTCAGCGCATCTGTCCATGAACTGAATCTCAAGAGAAGGTGGATCATGCAGCGACACAAGAGACCCTCAGCACACAAGTGGTTCTACCGAAGAATGGTTCAGGAAGAATAAAGTTCATGCTTTGGAACGGCCAAGTCAAAGTCCCGACATTAATCTAATCCAGATGTTGGAAGGACCTGAAGCAGCAGTTAATGTGAGGAAACCACCAACATCCAGAGTTGAAGCTGTTCTGAAGGAATGGGCTAAAACTCCTCCAAGCCGGTGAGCAGGACTGATCAATAATTACTTGTTGTAGTACTTGTTTAATAGAATGTTTGCAGTGTGTGTGTGTGGGGGTGGGGGGTGGGGGGGTGGGGTGTCACACTAGACACTGAAAGCAAAGGTTCACATACTTTTACAGCTCACATATGGAATAATGGATACTTTTCCTCAATAAATAAATGAGCAGGTATAATATTTTTGTCTCATTTGTTTAACTGGGTTCTTTTTATCTATTTTTAGGACTTGTGTGAAAATCTGATGTTTTAAATGCAGAAATATGTAAAATTCTAAAGGGGTCACAAACGTTCATGCACCACTGCACAGTACCATAATTTTCAAGCAACATGGGAGGATTTCTCCGCTGCCGAAAAGCATGATCATCGTATTAAGAGATTTGTGGCCGATTCAGAGCGCACAGGTTCGTACAGATAAAGGCACAACGAGGAAGGTATCGGATTAAGAGAGCAGCTGCTAAAATGCCATTACAAAGCAGCAAACAGATATTTGAAGCTGCTGCCTCTAGAGTCCCACGAACATCAAGGAGTAGGATCCTCCAAAGGTTTGCAGTCATGAATAAACCTTCTATTCACCACCACTAACCAATGCTCACAAGCAGAAACTGAGGCAGCGGGCCCAGAAATATATGGACTCATTTCCACAGGATCACAGATGAGTGCCATGCAACCCTGGATGGTCCTGATAGATGGAGTAGTGGATGACCAGCATGTCCCAAAAAGGCTGCAACGTCAGCAAGGAGGTGGCAGAGTCATGTTTTGGGCCGGAACTACGGGGACGGAGCTGTTCAGCCCCTTTAGAGTCCCTGAAGGTGTGAAAATAACCTCTAAAAAGTGTGCACAGTTTCTGACTGACCACTTTCTTCCATGGTACAAAAAGAGCCGTGCTTTCCGTGACAGAATCATGTTCATGACAATGCACCATGTCATGCTGCAAGGAAAACCTCTGCATCGTTGGTTGCTATGGGCATAAAAAGGAGAGAATCTCATGGTGAGGACCCCATCCTCCTCTGACCTCAACCCTATTGAGAACCTCTGGAGCATCCTCACGCAAAAGATCTATGAGGGCGGGAGGCAGTTTACATCCAAACTGCAGCTCTGCCTACTCTGCCATCCTGCAAAGAAATTCAGAAACTCCAAAAAGTCACTAGCAGTCGTTTTCAGCATTTTCACTGAAGAATTATTGCTAAAATCCATTTAACAATAAGATTCTAAATAAATGCCCACTTCAGGCTGAATGGTGTGCCTAAGGAACAACAATATGCTACAACTACTCCAGTTTGTTTGGCAATCACAATTATCTCCTAGCTAGGACGTACTGGTCAGTAAAAACATTGCTCATGTAGAAGCAGATCTTTGACAGGAAGGCTTCAAATACTCTCATTATAAGTCAAGTAAATGTGTCTTTTTTTAACTTGATTAAATTGTGTGAATGCACAAAAGCATCATTAACAGTCAGATCTCGGAGGGAACGTCATCTTCCCACAGTCCCTCTCATTGAAACAGAAGTGTTGTGGACGTTAACAGCTGTAGATCTTTGCAAACATCAAGCGCAGAGAAGCTAGCCTCCACTTGGTTTGGTTAAACAGTGTGAGGTGAAAAATTCAAATGAAACAAAAAGCTGGTCGCAGCAGCCTGAGGAATAATACGATCACAGCATCCAGGTGTCTTTGAACTCATCATCAGAACGAAGAAGTCGAACAAAGAGCGACAGAAACATTCCTGGGAGCCTTCGAAGTATAAAAAAATTTAAATCATACGGATTTTGTTCAGTTCAAAATGCAGCGGGCATGGTCTGAAGGCTTGGTCATAGTGAACGGAGTGTCTGTGGGCTAGTGGACGCTTATTTGAGTCTGACGGCAGCCCTGTAGACGGCAAAGCCCATCACCGCAACCACAGCCGAACCCAAAGCCACTCGGAGCCAGAAGGACGAGCTGCTCATGTCTGAACCGTTCAGGTGTCTGGAGTTAAGAGGAATCACAAGAAAAGTAATCAGCCACAACGAGTCCCCATTTACAACCATTACTAAATAAATGTAAAACTTCCATCATGTCAACAAAAAAGCAATAAAAAAAAACTCTTAAGTATCTTCTAACCAAGCTGCTTGTCTTTATCTCCATCAAAATGGTCATCTAGCAACAAATTGTTTAAAGTTCCTATAAAATGGTAACACGTGAACGTACGGGTACATGGCAGCCCAGGCGAGCTTGGTGTAGATGTTCTTGCAGGTGGAGTCCAGTAACAGGCTGGAGAAAGGCAGCGGAGGAGGCAGTCGGTGTTTATAGCAGAACTCTGCTGGAGTCATCCCGTGGAACTGCGTGGCTTCAGGAAGGTCCACTTTAGAGGCAACCAGCACGCAGGGGATATTGTTGTCCATGTAATGTTGCTAAATTAAACAAATAAATAAATAAAACCGTTTTACAGTTTGTTTCATTTCTATGCTGCAAGATTGACAAATATGGAAAGCTCTTATAAAACTTAATTAAACCGCACTCCAAAACTAAAATGACAACTATGAACAGTTAAAACTGTAGATCCCAGAAACGTAAGAATTCTTGTTGCCACATTTACAATGTTCCAAATAAAGACGGAGAATATTTGTTGAAATCTGGATCTGAGGGAAAAAATACTGAGGCGTCTCAAATGTTCAAGGATTCAAGGTTCTTTATCGTCATTCGCATCGAATGTGGAACACGAGGTGGAACGAAATTGTGTTCACAGTTACACCCAATAACAAAAACATAAAGTGTAAAAAGAAACGGTAAATAAGGATCTAAGAAATCAACTAACGCTAAATGAACACCCAACGGTACGCTAAAAGATCTAAGATAAGCTAAACACTAATAGTGCAAAACAGCACACCGGACAGCAGCAGCACAATTCTCAGTCTGTTCAGCTATAATTTACACGCTTAATGTGAGCGGAGTCCCAAAAACTAACAAAAACTGGAGTGTATTCAAAACATGCAACAAAAATACAGAAACAAGGAAAACAAATGAAAAAGAAATAAATCTACAGCAGCATGGTCCTGTTAGCGGTGTGGTCTTGTAGCAGCGTTAGCAGGTCTTGTTAGCAGGTCCCTTCAGCAGCATGATGATAACAAGGACCGCAGCAGCTGCCTCCCAGAAAGCCCTCCAGAACCAGGTCCAGCAGACAGAGAACATCCGAGGTTCCCCTGCGGAACCAGGCGGGTCCACAGAGTTTGGTCCATGCAGGCAGATGGAGGATCTTGTTAGAAGTGTTAGTAATTCTAGTTATCAGGTCCCATCAGCAGCATGATGATAATAAGGACCGCAACAGCTGCCCTCCCAGATTGCCCTCCAGAACCGGGTCCGGCAGACGGAGAACAACCAAGGTTTCCTCGCGGAACCAAACGGGTCCGTAGAGTTCAATCCGTGCAGGCAGATGGAGGATCATGGAGACAGCCGCCATCACAGGCCTGAGCCCGAGGCTGGAAGGCCTGAACCACGATGGCACGGCAGCGACACAGGAAACTCCACAAGTGTGTCGCGGTCATACCCGTACTGTGGATGTGCAGTGTAGGCGCAAAATACGTTACAACAGAAACAAAAAACGATCCGAGTTCATCGGGAGCCTGAAATACTGTCTGTAGATAGAACAAAATGTTTATTCTGACAAGGAAGAACAGACGAATCAGCAGATGCTCTGAAGCTCCTGTTTAATTATTATTAGATAAATTAAATATCAGGACACTGTAGAGAAGTGACGTCTCCCAGCGGGAGCTTCTTCGTTAAATCTTACAAAAACCATAAAAACACGTTTATTACAGCAAATTACTGTGAAATGAAAAACGCTCACACAGTGCTTTATGTTTAACTGTATTAGGAATAAATCCAAGAGCACATGCTTTTCTTTATCAAACAGTCAAACCAGAACAAATATCACATTTAAAGATAAATTGTACTTAAAAAGGTTATTTTATTGCTTAACAATTCCTGTGAAATATCTATAAAAATGACTGTTAGGCACTCTGAGCTGTTTCTTTGTACGAAAAAATATTCTGGGTTGTTGCAAGAGATGGAGTCAAGTCCGTCTTCTTTTATTCAACAACTGCAGTCACATTTAAAGATAAAAATGTCATTTTGATTGGGACAAGATCTCCCTTTGCTCCTCTGAAATGATCACATATGTAGTCACTAATTCTAGGCTTGCACCATTTTTAAATGAACACAAATGAATCCTAGAAACTACTGAAGGTGACAAAGTTAGTGCTACTGAATTATAAAAGTAGTCTGTGTGAACATAAAAAGTAAGCAATATAAAAAAGAGTTTAGGGACTGACCTTGTAAATACTGGCACAATAGTTGAAAGAATGAGGGTCACTGGCGTCATACATGAGACAGGCGACATCACAGGAGGCGTCTGATGCCTTCAGGAACTCCGTCTCCACATCGACCTCGTGGAGCTGGGCAGGGAGGAGACGAGGGTAGAGCTCAGGCTTTACCCAGGGTCAGAAGTTCAGTCCATGTGCACGATACTTACGATGAGGAATTTCTCCTGGCTGCTGACGAGAACGGCATTTATGACGTATGGTGAGAAGGCACTGCTGGGATTTAACTTGATTTATAAAAGACAATAAAAAAACACGTTTCAGTACTTTCAGGCTGGATAACAAACACGAGACAAACTCATCAGAGGCTCAATGACACTTTCAGCCCTGGATAAGTTAAAGGCTTCGTACCAGAACACTGCGGCCCACAAAGGACTGAAGAAAGGCTGTTTTTCCTGTCCCTCGAGGTCCGATCACCTTGCAGAGAAACACTGTCCGCTGAGTTTGACGCTTTTCCAAATCGACTTCTTTCGCTCGCGTCACTGCACATATATATGTATATAAAGAATTAAACACACAAATCAAGCATATGTGAAATAGAAGAAAAAAAACAAACATGCAATTATTTTACCTCTTAATGTAAAATGCCATTTTAGTTATTCTGATTATCAGAGACATTTTTTATACTTGATAACAGAAAGATTAGATTATTAGAATTTTCAAATTAGATTATTCGTTAGAGAACAGACGAGGCTTGACGAGGAGACATTGCTAATTTTATAACAAATGCATAATCTGATTGTAACGTGTGTGCAAGTGCAGGGTGTGCAAGTTACGTCTGACTTTAACATCAGAAGAAAATGTAGAAAATTAAACAAAACAGCAAGACCAGGTGGAATTGATGAGCCAGGGGGTGGCCAGTGGTGGCCACAGATTAATCTTCAGCCACCCCAAGGGCCACCCAAACCATTTGAGAAACTACAATTTCAAGCAGTATAAAAACCACAAAGCATCGTTTCCTCAAATGACTGGGGTGACCGGTTTACATATACAGTAAATGGTGATGTGCTTTTTATCTCTCAAGTTATCCAGCTCCAGATGAGTCCTGCAGTTTACATGCTCTCAACTCAGACTGAACTGACTCAAACACACGTTCAAACAAACGGACTTGTTTGGACGTCCATCAGGCAGTTAGAGCCATGAAACCCTGCTGTCATGTAACGGAGACTAAAAAACAGAGAGACATTTGTCCCATTTCATTAAAGCTGTGCATCAAAACAAAGACAATCCAACACACACCTGTTATAGCAGCGGTCTGTGACCCTTGCTCAGTGAGGACAGGGTAGCCTAAGTATCCAAGGTGCTCCAGGCAACGGTGGATGTCAAGGTAGGCAGAAAGCCTGCACGTGAAGAGCGTGCACGTGAGTTGTGGACAGTGCAGACGAAACTCTTCGTCGGTGTTTACAAATGGAGCAAGCTGGTAACACTTACATCCACTGACAGTGGAAGCCGTGATTAGAAATGTAGCCCTCCTCTGTGGTCGGTACGGTCATACAGACGTCTGCACTCCAAGGCATGTACGGACACACGCAAAACAGGTTCCTAAGCTCAGCCGGTGACAGGGCACAGTCCTTATCCTAGGAGAAATAGACCAATTTCATGTTAACATGTTTACATTTTTAATACACGTTGCCATGTCATATACGATGAAGTGAGCTGCAACAAAAGTGCAACTCACTTCATCGTATTTGTCGAACAATCGCTGTAGGAACTGACGACCCAGGTGGTTTACTTCTGTGGTGCAGCCTACAGGGACTCGCAGTCTGGTAACAGAAAGAAAACCCAGAAGGAAATGATAGAAAATAAGGACATTTCTGATTAAAGTGACTGAACTATAACTAGTCAAATAAATATTTCAGATAAATATTTCAGGAGTACTACCTGAAATACTAGTTATCAGAAGTTTTTCAGATGAAATAGAGTCACAGCTCTTACTCGGGATAAAGGTAATCATCAGTCAGCTCAAGGTCGTCATCGTAACCAAACTTCCTCAGGATCGTCCACGTGGTTTCATGTCGGCCTCTTTGGATAAACAATGTATTAAGAAACAAAAACCCTGAAAAAAAGGATAGGATACATGACCATTTCATGAATGTGGCCTTTTAACAATTAAAAAAATAAAAATGTTAATAAAAACAATGCCGACTCAGCATTCACCCTGAAGTTCTTGTTTCTTTTCTAGATTTTCTGCAAAATACATCCACATTATTTGTACTTTAACCATTCAAACGTCAAAACGTTTGGCTCGATCAGGAATAGGACGCTATGACGGTCAACATTAATAACTTCTTACACTTTGAGTTATTTAATTTTATTTACAAATATTTCCTTATAGATACATGCAGATATTTTATTCCTTAAAAAAACATTGTTCTCTAAAATCAGCTGCATCCCGCTTGCTTTATTTTTGTCTTCTTATGATAATTTTAGCTTTTAGCTACTATTTTGATTATTTGAACTTTTAGCTACAAAATGAGCTGATTTTAGTTTTTAGCTACTGTGTTAATTTCAGACTACAGCAACACTTTTGTTGATTTTAACTTTCAACAGAAGTTTTGCTAGTTCTAACCTTAACTACATTTTAGCATTCAGTTGTGGTTTTGCTGATTTTAGCTCCTGTTTTTTTAATTTTAACAAACCAGATATCAACTTATTCCTCTAAACTTAAGCAGACATTCAACAAATACGCTGCATTTTTGCAGAAAATGTGATTTCTGGAGCTCATGACCGTTCCGTACCGTTCAGGGTCAGGCCGTTGTCTTGCACTCCGTCGCTGGTGTTCTTCCACACCACAGTCTTCACATCTTCTAAAGCCTGCGGTGCCAGAGGATTCCCAAAACAGGATTTCTACAGGAAAAGATGGATTGTTTTTATAACAGGCAAAAACATGATTGTAAAAATAAAAGCTGAGAAAAGATGCAAAGTGATTTTATTTGGTACCTGAAAGCTGTTGAGTTCAGCATCACTTAGGATACGGTCATTATCCTGATCGGAAATGTAAAATATTCTGCTGAGAGCTCGGACACACGGTGGTTTTAGCTGCAGAAAGAGATAGTGTTAAATATTTTATGCAAACATTTCAAAAAGGACAGGCAAGTCTGGAGAGGGTAAAGCTGACCTGTTTGTCCTCAGGGTCATAAAGAGGAGCCGTTGGGTGGAGGACTGCCTTCTGGGCGTAGTAGAAGAGCTCTGAAATGTTTTTTAGGTTCTTCGCAGAACACTAAAAAAAAAAATATGAAAAAAAAAATATATGGAAACCATTTAAACCATTCTAAAGGTGAGAAAGTGTGTAAATACTTAATGAACCATCGGTATCTTGGTGTGAGCAGGTGTGTAAAGTGGAGGTGTGTGACGGAGCTGTGCTTCACCTCAACACACGTCTCAATCTCAGAGAACTGGTTCATGATGGGAAGAATGGTCTCCATTGAACTCCCACTGCGCAGGTCAGATTTATTCCCCACAAGGATGATAGGAACCCTGACACAACAAAAACTCTCAGAACAGAAAACTATGCAAGGATTATTTTATTTTTCTAAATGATTCTGCACAAGATACGACTGAACAGTTTATTCTAACAGACTCGCACGCCTCTATAAACGTTTAGCTGCTTTAGGGTGATTTAATGCACTGTTACTAAGATTTAGATTATTATATTGTTTTTTTGAACGTCCAGAGGACCTGACTTCACTTTTTTTTTAGATTTTTCTACCGGGATTATTGAGCATGCATCAGGATATTTAGATTGTTAGATTAAAAAAGTCCAACCTTACATGGTTCATTTAACAAATACATACTTGTTTCCTTTTTCTGCATCGCCGTTCACTAAAGGAATCCATTTGGTTTTAATCTGATAAACAAATGTGAGGAGTGTCATTTCTAATCCAAACAAATGCAATAACTCTTGTACATATTAAATGGTATAAACTAATTAAAAGCTTTTTACCTTATCTATTGTATCCTCGTTGGTCACATCATACACAACACACACCACATTAGCCTGTGCGCACGAGACAAAGGACACAAACTAAATATTTATATGAGAAATAAAGACAGAACAGACTTTTGTCGACTTTTTATTTTACCACCTGTGTTCCTGTTATATGGAAGAAATTTTACATTTGACTTTATGACCTTTGACTTTGTGCGGGACGGTATTTTTACCTTCACGATTTCACCTCTCAGGACTTCATTACTCTGTTCCTTTTCTGCTGAGGTGAAGGACAAAATATAAATATCTTAGTCATGGCATTCAGACCCTCATGCAACGTTTGCAGCTCTAATATAAACATGCATGCACACTTGTTCAACATCCTGAGTCCTACAGCAGCCAGTTCCACCTGTAATGAGGGCGCTGCACGTTTGCCTTCAGGCCACGTTACCTGAGTAGTCCACGATGTGAGTGGGAACCTTCTCAGGAGTCACGTCTGCAGGGATTGTGATTTCCTCAGCTCTGGGAGGAACCTGGAAAAAATAAAATCCACTTTTAATAAATTTACAGTAGTCCCTCGCTACTTCGTGATTCGTTTATCGCGGACTCGCTCTATCGCAGTTTTTCTAAATAAGATCGGACATGACACACAACTGGCTGATTGATGGATGAGCCGCACAATCGGCATGGAATTTTTATTTAAAATAAATTATTTTAAATGATTTAGCACCTCCTGCACCTTTGTGCAGCCCATACTGCAGGACAAACTTCCTGCTGCAGCTGATCAGCTGATCTCCGTGCAGATCGAAGTGGGCGTGGCCAAGAGCACTTTAAGGTGGCTGAGAGCAGCAGAGGTGGAGAGGGGGAAATCATGACATTCTGTGCTCTTTTAGAGCATTTAGAAACATTGTTTAGAATATTGCAAGTGTGGGAAGGGTTTAAAACACCTTAATATAAATACTAAAATAAACTAATACTTACTACTTGTACTACTATTTCTACTTCAGGGTTCTTCACTTACCGCAGGGCTTCAGGGTATGGATCCCCTGCGATAAACGAGGGACTAATGTATACCTGTTTAATATTTCATTCAAATATATATATTTTTGCATTACTAAAGTCCAAATTTTCACCCTGGTCAAATGTTTTAATAAAAAATATATAAATTCAGCCTCTACTTAAGGGGCAGTTTTTCATTTGAAAGAGTCTCAAAATCCACTTTGTCCCATCAGTTATTACAAAATGTCGCAATTACAACTTAAGATGATTGAAATAATTCTGCAAAAGAGTAAAACTCAACATTCCTTTGAGTAAAACTAGTCAAATTAATCTAACAAGCAGAAAATTTGATTTGCTTTCAGCCCATTCCAACTCCTTAACACACGTTCAATGTCCTCAAATTACTACAGCGATGAGACCCAGGGAAAGTCCTCCCAAACAGCTACAGGACTGAGCAGAAAAAAGAAATTAGAACAGAGCACTTCTTATTTGGCTGCTCCCGTCCTCAGGGGTCGCCACAGCGAACTAACTCACAAGAAGACTTGACAATTGTTTTTACGCCGAATGCTCTTCCTGACGCAACCACAGACCACCGAGCTACCACAGCCCTGTGTGTGGAGCAGAGAGCTGCCATCTAGGACACCCGGGGAGAAACAGCATGACTAATCTACTAAAATAGAAGGAGGACAAAAATGTTTCTACGAGCACAGAACAAAAATTGTATGTGTTTATACAAAGGGAAACTATTTAAAGCAATGACACGGAGTCCTTCAGTAATTGTGATGACCTCACCACAAGGTGGGTCAGTCCTTGCTTGGTTTTCCAGGTAAATCAGGTTATGAGTGGATCACGCACGCCTGGACCTGGTGTCCTCATCTAAGACCTGCTGTTCATTTATGTACTACATACATGTCACTAACCCACACATGCTTTACACTTGATTATTACACTTTATTTTTAATTTTTTTACATTCCATCACGTTTTGTCTCGTTGTTACAGGTTTTGAGTTGGACTTTAACATGAAGCACGGACTAAACGTTTGAGGGCCACTTGACACTGATGAATTTTTAAAAAGATAATTAGGCAGGAGATGACGAGCTCCGTAGAGCACCTGTGTTCACGCTCACCTCTTCTGGGAACTCTTCTCCAACCAGAGACATGATGAGGGAGGTCTTCCCCACTTTGGCTGTTGGGAGGGAAACATGCAGAGAGGATACGATTACATCATCTGGGTCGTATGTTGACAGCTTCCAACCAGAAGAGTGGCTGAGCATCAGCCATCCTTCATGGTTTCTGCTCACCAATGTCAGTGGATCGAGTGCATGTGAGAGAAGTATGAAAAGCAGGACAGTAAAGTTTGGCAGCAGCCACAGAGATGTGCTGTACTCATTTGTGGAGATGGCTGCCATATTGGCTAGTTAAGTATCCCAGAGGTGAAGACAGCAAAAGGTTGGAGGGAGACGTTCCTGTTAGAACGAGCTGGGTGAGGACTAACTAGAGAACTGGAGAACCCTTGACTGTTCGTTGTTAAAGATGTTTTACTGACAACTGTACACGGTCCTGAATCATTATCCAATGATCCTAGTTTGAGTTGAGAAATACTAGAACACAGCTCGAGCTGGAATGATTTGCAGCTTTGACATAAAATCAGTCGAGAAAATAACAGTTTTAAAAGATGACTGGATATAAATTATTACTACTGGTAAATGCTTATGTTATTTAGTAATTATAGTATTGACAATAAGTTCAAACATTGAAAAAAGTGTTGAAATTGAAAGGATACATCAGGTACGTTTCTTGACAATGGATGAGAAAATCTCCTGGAAACCGCACATAAAAAAATACAAACTTAAATGATCAAGAAGCGCCTCAGTCCTGAACAGAACAAGTTACATTTGAAACCAGAAATCACTTCGCCCGCCTCATTTCAGTCATTATGAAGCAGTGGGGAGACATTTATTTAGTTCATGACAGCCACACTTCTGACTAAATCTTCACTTTCTGAAAAACAAATGTTTTTTCATTTAAAATCCACAATTAATCAAACTAATGTACAGAGGCCAAACCTGACCTGCTGTCAGGAAACAAACTAAATACTTTCTTATAGGAGGGTTTTCATTTTGGGAAAATATTTAACTTTAAAATGTTTAAAAGGCACAGATGAATTTTGTTAAATTAAGGAACACGCACGTTCCTGTTTAAAAACCAATATAAGATAGAGACATTTGTTTTTATTAGACAGTTTGTGTAAATGTGAGCACGTACAGTGGTGAAAATAAGTATTAAATTCACTGATGACTTTAAAAGTTTTCCCACCTACAAAGAACGGAGAGGTCTATAATTTTATCGTCGGTACACTTCAACTGTGAGAGACAGAATCGGGGGGGGGGGGGGGGGGGGGTTTCCAGAAAATCACATTGTTTGATTTTTAAAATCATTACTGTGCATTTTATTGCATGAAATAAATATTTGATAGAATAGAAAAACAGAGCTTAATATTTGGCTAGGCCACTCCAGGACCTTGAAATGCTTCTTACAGAGCGGCTCCTTAGTTGCTCGGGCTGTGTGTTTCAGGTCATTGTCATGCTGGAAGACACAGCTAGGACCCATCTTCAATGTTCTTACTGAGGGAAGGAGGTTTTTGGGCAAAATCTCACGACCCCATCCATCCTCTCTTCAATATGGTGCAGTCGTCCTGTCCTCTTTGCAAGAAAACACCCCCAAAATATGATGATTCCACCCCCATGCTTCACAGTTGGGACAGTGTACTCATCCTTCTTCCTCCTCCAAACACAGTGAGTGGATTTGAGACCAAAAAGCTCTGTTTTGGTCTCATCTGAGCACATGACCTTCTCCCATGCCTCTTCTTGATCTGGTCATTGAACTTCAAATGGGCCTGGACATGTACTGGTGTGAGCAGGGGAACTTTGTGTGGCCTGCAGGATCTTAAACCATGATGGCATGTTGTGTTACTAATGGTTCTGTTTGAGACTGTGGTCCCAGCTCTCTTCAGGTCATTGACCAGGTCCTCCCATGTAGTTCTGGTCTGATTCCCGACCTTTCTCAGAATCATCCTTACCCATACTGAAGATTGACTTGTGTTTCTTCCATTTTCTAGTAACTGCCCCAACAGTTGTTGCCTTCTCACCGAGCTGCTTGCCTACGGTCCTGTAGCCCAGCCCAGCCTTGTGCAGGTCTACAATTTAGTCCTGGTGTCCAGACAGCTCTTTGGTTTTCTTGGCCATGATGGAGAGGTTGGAGTTTGATTTATTGAGCATGTGGACGAGTGTCTTTTACAGGTAACACGTTTAAACAGGTACAATTAATACAGGTAAAGAATGCAGAATAGGAGGGCTTCTTAAAGAAAAACTAACAGGTCTGTGAGAGCAAGAATTCTTGCTGGCTGGTAGGTGATCAAATACTTCTTTCATGCAGTAAAATACCAATGAAACATTTAAAAATCATACAATGCGATTGATTTTTTTTTCTTACATTTTCTCTCTCACAGTTGAAGTGCACTTACAAAAAAATTAGACCTTTAAATTCTTTGTAGGTAGGAAAACTTGCAAATACATATTTTCCCCACTGTATATATGGGATTACCATGGGTAAATAGGTTTATTTCCATAGATATATTTATGTGTGCATATACGTCTGTATATATTTCTTACATACTGCAGCTAAAGAATTGGAAATGTTTTAACAAACAGGAGATCATAAGTTTATACTTCTTGCTCTCCCTTTCTGGATTATTATTATTGAACCATTAGTTTATGTGGGTTAATGACTGAATCACTTGACACAACTGATTACTGTATATATTTTTCTTAACTTTAAAAGTACAAAATAAACTGATGAATCATTATGGTGGGAGGAACTTCAGGATGACAGCAGGTGAATTTTCAATCTGCAGTAAAATGATTTTCAGATCAGTAGCTCTGAAGCTGTAACCATAGCTGCTGTAATCAACACTACAGCCCACAGGGATGTTTGACTGAAGCCTGTACACCTGCTGCAAGTCTATTCCCATTTAATTACCCTGCTTAAAACTCAACTCAAACATGTGCTCATGTTATTCTTGAACCTCCTCCATGACAGACTGCTTTCAATAAAGGCGTCTTCTCGAAAAGGTTTTCAGCAGTAACTCACTAACAAGGGTCAACAACCCTCTCATCACTTTAAACTTACTTTGGAGCTGAAATACTCTTAAGCTAGCCCACTAGAAATTGATATTTGCATAGCAGCTTCCACAAAACACGTCTTCTTTATCTGATAGAACGTAGATATTTTTTAGAAATATTAACTAAAGCAGCTTTTAACATCAGAAGTAGCCGAGGTGAACTCGTTTTCATGCTGTGAAGTTAGTTAGCCGCAGCGGCTAATGTTTGCTAATCGTCTAAACTTGTGAGAGACTTACGTTCTCCCAATAAAAGTATCCTGACGTCTTGTTTCATGTTTCTTCGCTTTCCGAACAGCAAACAGACGCGGCGAGCTGCAAATGAACTATGTGTGTTTCATTTGAGTTAAAAGTTGTGGCTATAACCGAACCTGCGCCTCTCTTCCGGCGGATACGCGCCCAAGGTGAAGCGGTACTAACGCTTCCGGTTCATCAGAGCGGAGAGGCCGCAGAACTACGACGCCTGCTGGACAGACGGTGAACTGCAGCCTCACCATTTAATTCATATACTCACTGGTTTGTTTTTTAATTTACATTAGAGCGTCAATCAAAATGTATTAGCCACGTTTAAATATTTATAGATGGAATAACAGCTAGTATAGCATAAATAACCCACAAAACATCTGTTGTATGATCAAGCAATGCATTTTGAAGCAGAACCTTTAAAATCTGAGCATTTATCTTTGTAAAACCATTTTTCAAGAATGCAATTGTATTTATTAATCTTCTTTAGATCTAATACAAATTCACTGTGAAAAAATAATACAGTTTTCTTGTAATGTGCATTTTTAAAATATCTGTGCAAGAATAAAGTAGTAACTTCAGGCTCTGACCAGCTGCTGAAACTTGCTGACTGGTGAGAGCTGGAAGATAAAACTGTGAAAAAGAATATCAACCTTATTTAAGATTAAAAATCCTGTTTTACTAGCGGCACTAAGAAAGCAAGAATTACTGAAAGTGTTGCATTTTATTTAACCAATGAAACAAAAATATTCAGATATTACTTAAATTTAACATTTACAGTGAGAGCTGTGTTTGAAAGAGTCCATAAAAAGCTTCTAGTTTGCATTTGTTTAAATGCCATTTGACTGGACTACCAGTCCATTTTGTGTTATCCCTTATTTATATGTGACAGGTTCAGTAATACGTGCAACGTTTCTACATGCCTAAGAAGCACCGAGATGAAAAGCAAAGCAGAAGAGGCACTAAGTGCAGGAAGTCGTCCTTCAGCCTTTGAAGCTTTAACGCATGTCTTTGGGACAAAAATATATTCACTACATGAAAAAAAATACCTACTTGCAGTACAAAATGCTCCGAGCAGTGAAACGTTCTCCCTTATCATCAAAGTAGGAAAACATCTGCTTTTATATGCAGAAAGTTTTACTGACAATTTTACAGAGTGGAACTTTATTAGTGGTTCTTATTTCCATCGTCGCACTGCTAACAACCTGTCTGCTTTAATTAAGCCCCGTGTGCAGACGCATTTAAACACATTTTAATTGCATTATAGAAACCTAAATTAAAAAAGTCAAACATTAGAAGTGACTGGCAAAGAACAGGATTTCTTTAATTAAAAAAAAGGTTTATTACAAAACCAAACGTGAATAAAATATAAACTCCAATGATCTTCATCCAAGATTCACATTTCACTTAGAAGAGAAGTTCAAACTTGGGTTCTCAGCTTCGATGCTAATACGATAAACGGTATTTACAGCTGTGTTTAAGTATCTCACTCATTATATGTCCGTTTTTATGGCTTATCTAACAGATGAAGCATATTTGAATAGAAACCTGACGGGTGCTGTTGTGGACGAACGTGGAATAGTAAAGGTCCAAACACAGATGTGAGGCTCTCAGAGGCCCTGCACCTCCCACAGCAGGACCTCATTATGAGCTACAGACAGAAGCAGCGCCCCAGAAGGAGAGAAGTGACACGTCTGCAGAGAGTCGCTGTGCAGCAAGAAGTCCTGAAACCTTCCGCTGCTCGACTGGATCAGCTTCAGCACTCTCTCTGGTGTGACATTAAACAGCGTGAACGTCTGATTCACTTGAACCAGAAAATATCATTAAAATAAAAATCACCTTTACCTTTTGATCCTACAGCTAAGAGCTGCTTCTTAGAGGACAGGCTCATGCAGGTGGCCCAGTGGGGCAAGGCAATCTTTTTTATTATCTGTGGTAAATAAAATATAAATATATTTAGAATGTGGCACACATTTGTTTTGTTAGCAATCCCTGTGCAGGTTACCTGTTTGCTAACCAAGCTGTAGAAAGTCAGCTCTTTCTCCGCTCCATAACCAGAGTAGACCACCAGACTGTGATCAGCTGGGCAGAAGGCAGCCAGGCTGGGGGGCAGGGTGTCACCCTACAGCACGGAATACAAACGTATTAGACCCGTCACAATCAAAAATAAACTCCACTTAGAGTTTGTAACATTTGGACCATATGAAACAGACACAACCCTCACACGGCATTTAACAACTGCCATGACTCAGAGGAATTATTCCACAAGACGCCCCTCAGCATTTCAGGAAAACACAGTTCCCTGATTTCTCCCAGAGTAAATCCTGAAATTCCAGGAGATATTTTAATCACATGAAACTCTCAGAACTTAGCGTCTTAGGTGGCAGGCAAAGGATTTACTGTAGCAGTGAGTAATTATGTGCATACAGCAATCATTCCTAATAATAATAATTATTTTTTTCTTCTTTTGGCTGCTCCCTTCGTCAGGGGTTGCCACAGCGAAGTCGCACAAAGACTTCGCTTAAAAAAAAAATTTTTTTTACCGGACGTCCTTCCTGACGCAACCGCAGACCACTGAGCTACCACAGCCCTCTGTGTGCAGCAGAGAGCTGCTCTCTAGGGTAGAGCTGTCATTTCTAACACGAGCCTGAAGTGCGGGCCGGGCTGGTCTCAGGATTTGATACAGTTTTACGAATCAGCACAAATAAAACTAAATAAAATTGTGTTAATCTACTTGTTGAGGAGGAGGCAGGTCTGACTGTCCGGTTGAAAGAGGTAAAAAAAAAACGTCCAGTTAAGCTCAGATGGATCAGCTGATCACTGGCCGCGCGCGTCTCCGCACCTGCTGTCATCTGCGGTGAAGCAAGTAGCAGCATCTTTAAAAGCCGAAGCGAGCAGCGCGTTCAATTAAAATAATCTTGTTCTGTATTTTTCCAAATAATTTTGCACTAAAAATATTTGTGTTCATCTGTGTAATAACTTATCTTTAGAGTTGTTTTTTAAGGCTATTTGTTTTGTTAATATCTATTTGATGAAACAAGAAATCTTCTATCTTCCTTTAGTAACATTTTTAAAATATCATGTCAAACTCATTTGCTTACAAAATCAGTAAAAGCTTAATAAAAAAAAACTTGTTGTTTTTTTCGGGTTCAGGCCTGTAATGACATTAAATGTGATTGGGTCGGGAAAAAATATCTGATCAGTTTTCAAATTTCCCGAGTTTCCCCATGTGAAATAAAACGAGTCATTTTCCAGATTTTCCCTGATTTCCAGAGTCTGAGAACCCTGATACATGCAGCAGTGATTAAATATTCCTTTTTGTCCTGCACAGAACATGATTCTGAACAAAAAAGGAACCAAACAATGGCTTTAAATCAAATTAAACATTTTGTCCTATACGACCAAACAGTTAGTGGATAAATAATCATTTTTAAACAAGTGATATTTATAAAATAATAAACACTTTGCAAAAAAGTGGAACCAATCAAAAAAAAAAAACTACATGTCACACACATGTGGGCTGGTGATACAACAGCAGGAGGAAAACCAGTTGAACCAAATGATCATTTCAGTGGTTTATAACCACACAGCTACTGTATGTTTTGAAGAATAACTATTATTTATTATTTCTCACATTATACCTCAAATGTTTGTTGCACTAGTCTAGAAACAGAATACTTTAATTACATCAAGAGTAAATGATGTTGCTCAGAGTGAGGATGTGTCGAACGTTACTGTTGTTAAATCAACCCTTGTTAGCAACATCATCTTCTACTTGAACTAGATTCACCACTGTTGTTTTTTCAGTGTATGAAAACAGATGATGGTAAAAATGTCAGAGGAACTGAAGGTGCACTCTAAGCCTACATAAAATAACATAGCTAGTACCGCAGAGCGGGCCGGAGCAGGAAATGACAGCCAGTCTAAGAGATCGCACTTCTCCTTCGACCAATCGGCAGCCCAAACACTGACGCGTCTGTCGGCGCTCGCAGCCAACCACAGCTCACTTCCTTCCAGTCCAAACTTCTTACACTAAGGATGAGAAGATAAAGCAGCTTAGGAGACAGCGTAAAAAAAAAAAATATATATATATATATATACTTTTAAATATACTGTTTTTTTTTTTTCAAAAGTACTTTCATTGAACTGCTGAGCTGTCATTCCATATAAAGCAGCTAATTTGTTGTGTTTCATTTGCATTAGACACATATTTAGAGTACAACTTGGTGTAGAAACTCATCTGTAATGTGTATTTCAACCTAATGATATCTTATTGTTGCGTCTGAGCTCTCGTGTTGACAAAGCCTTTAATCCTGGTTGGACGTCAGTGAGCTGACCTGTTCATTCACACACTGGATTGTGGAAACAGTCGCTCCTTTGTGGTCCCTGATGACACGTAATGTTGCTCCATTTAGCTGGCTACTCACAGCTACCAGGCCATTCTCTCCTGCTGAAAGGATCATGTGACCTACGGGGGGGGGGGGGGGGGGGGGG